ATTTAGTACTAAATGTTTTTTAATTTAATGATAACCATCAAGACACTTGAATATGATGTTTCTCCAAAATGACATCACCAGAAAAAATTATCCTTCTATATAGCATGGTTTTTATACAATTGTAGTGATCGGCCCTTGAGATTTTATTAGAGGCACAGAGAAATAGACCAAAGGAGCACAGCAGAAATTCAAGAAGCAGATTCTCAGATATATGGACACATATCATTTCTTAGCAATGTTATTACAAATCGGTAGGGGAAAAAATTCACTGTTCAATATCTAGTCTTGAGACATTTTATTATTAATCTGTAAAAAATTATCCCTATATCATATCATACTAAAAATTACAGAAATATAGAAGAAAAGACAAGAAAATATCTTAAAGAACTTGGAAAATAAAATAGTTTCTTAAAACATAGTTTCTTAAACAAATAAATAGTTTCTTAAACAAAAAATACAAACCATAAAAGAAAAGATTATTTCTTAAAACATAGTTTCTTAAACAAAAAATACAAACCATAAAAGAAAAGATTGGTAAATTTGACAACTTTAAAATTAAAAACTCAGGTATGACAACCCGTAAATGAAAAGATATGAATTTAGAGATTTAGAGAAGATATTTACAAGCCATATAAAAATTATTTATATTCAGAATACATAAGGAGCTCTGACAAAAAATCAGAAAAAGACAAAAAACCCAGTCATAAAATGGACAAAGGCTACATACAGACAAGTCACAAATGGTAAATCTGAATGGCCAATAAGCATATTACTAGCAACGCTCAACTTCATTAATAATTAAAATGCTAATTAAAATTAGAAGATATTTATTTATAACCCATTTAGATTGACATACATTTCCAAAGTCTGACTTTTTCAGTTTGGGGTGAGAAATTACAACATCAAGAACTCTCATCGACAATAAGAATGTACAACAGAGGTCCATCTTTGAAGATCAATCCAACAATATCTAGCAAAGTTGGATGCCTGTACCCTATAGACTAGCAAGTCTGTTCTAGATACCTTAAAGAAACTCTTACAGGTATGTAAGGACATATATACAGGAAAAATAATTTCAGTATCAACAGGAGAATCAGTAAATAAATTATGGTGTATTTGCACAAATTATATAGTGATGAGAAATGAACAGAGTAGCATGTACTAATATGAATAAATCTCGAACACAATGCTGAATGTATAACGTGAAGAAGTAAATAGTTTATTATGAGCCTCTATATTTTTACATGCATGAAATACTTTATAATTTTATAGGTAAAAAAAGAATAAAAACATTCATTATGAGTACAGCAAGCAAGCAACTGGGATCCCTTTTAGGTGTGCTCCACAGTCGCTGTTTGAAGCATGAGGTTGACTCAAAGTTCAGGATGGGTCTTATATGAACAAAAATTTCCTGGGAGAGAATTTATATTCCATGTGGCTATGTTCTTTTTTTTTTTTTTTTAAAGCTTTTATTTATTCACTTGTCAGAGGAAGAGAGATCACAAGCAGGCAGAGAGGCAGGCAGAGAGAGGGGGAGGAAGCAGGCTCCCCACCGAGGAGAGAGCCCGACTCGGGGCTCGATCCCAGGACCCCAAGATCATGACCCGAGCCAAAGGCAGAGGCCCAACCCATTGAGCCACCCAGGCGGCCCTCCATGTGGTTATGTTTTAAAAAAATCACCTTCCTTTAAATCTGCAAAATAACCCTGCACATTGAATCATGGCACTTATTGGCACAAGTAACCTGGTAGAGGCTGCATTCAGAAAGTCAGAGGAAGGACAAGAAGATAATCAGCTGGGCTAAATGTAGAAGCCCACTCTCCGCGTGAGTAAGGTTGCAAGATTCAGCAAGTAAAAATGCAGAACTCTCGGTTGAGGTTGTATTTCAGATAAAAAAATGATTTTCTACTATCAATGTATCCTAACATAAAGGTACTCTCCTAACTCAGAAATTCACTCTAAGCATGGCAATTTCTCTCACGAAGTAACCTGGGATAGCAAAGAAGAAACAAAGAGAGAAAGAAAAAAAACAGCACTTGGTTGTCTAACAGAGCTGCATTTGAACTGCAGGTCTCTAGCTCGGTGACTCCCAGCCAAACGCAGAGATCCATTTCCTCAGTTCTTAAGGGAGGATAATATTTATCTTACAAGAGTAACTGGATACAGCACGTGTGAGAACCTACCTGGCTCAAAGAAGTTGCTCAGTACGTAACTTTAAAAGACCAGTTGAACAATTATTAAATGCTTATTAGAACAGTCCCTTTACCTGGCTTTGGGGCTGTAAAGATGAATAAGAATGATTTCTTGTTCCAAAAGAGCTCAGTTTTTTTGTGGAAGACATTTACAAACCACACAAGCAAACAATTACAACACAGCATGCTATGTTCTGTAACTGAGCTGTGTGCAAATGATCTCTCCCTCTTCACTCGTCAAAATCCAACCCTGTCTCTGAGGTCTTATGCACAATGCACGTCTTTCTCAATGTGTCACTCATTCTCCCAGGTCAGAATTAGTCTCTCTGTCTTCTATTTGACCGAGCGAGTTCACTTAGATCACTGTTGTGGAACCTAAATTTCATGGCCTTGGACTATAATTACTCCCCTTTCCTGTCACCTGCCCTAGATCGTGGGCTAAAACATACTTTATTTATTTTTACATCACCCCTATACACAGCATATGGTATGTGTTCAGTAAATGCTTGTGTTGCCTTTCCAAATGGAACTAGGCTACTATTTCTATGAATGCAAATGAACAGTCATGTAACAAAATCCTTTCTCAGGCAATTGCCTGAGGTTTGGAATCCAACTGACACATGAAAATTTGACACACATTTTTTTTGTATTAAGTAACCCAGAAAGAGCAATATGACACACTCCAGGGTAGAAGAAAAGATATGGAGTATGTATTGTGAACAAAAATAAGGTTGTAGAGCAATATATAAAATATGATTTAATTTTTAGAATGCCAGCATTATTATTTATGTTAGGTCATATATAGAAAAAAACTCAAAAAAATATATGCTAAACTATTATTGCTGGGATTAAAATCATGGAAAATTTACCTTTTCTAAACTATGGAATTCTGCAGTATTTAAATGTTTTACAATGAGCGTTGTTAATTTATTAAGGAGAAAATAATAATTAAAAAAAAAATTACCCCAAGGACGTCTGTCATTGACTCTTTTGCCCATTTTTGTTTTCATGTCAAAAATTTTTCTTTTGCTTAGAATACAAATTAAGACTTTTCCTAAAATAAATAAGTGGCAGTAATTCTATTTTTAAAACGAAAAACCAAACGCGTCCCCTGCCTTTCTTCCCTTCTGTATTAGAGACCCAAAAGAAACAGCAACCTTGGATCATGACTCCAGGTCTCATAAAAGGCAAAAACAGACAAAATTATTTCCCACTTTTTTTCCCCCCCATCCTCGTTAGTCTGACATACTTAAGCGCTTCATTTTTTGGTCCGATCCTCTTCACTGTTAGCTGTCTTGCATGCTACACAGAAGCCCTCAACTGGAAGCCAGGGAAGTGCGGTGTTGATTTAGCAAAGGGATGAGGGAAGCAGGCACTTTAGTATTTCCCTGCCTCCCCTGGGAAGGTTAAGGGAGAACTTAATTCAACCTTAAGTGGTGTAAACATCCCCAGACGAAGCCCGGTTAACAGCACTGATGGAAGGGAGCTGGCCGCTGTCTCTCTCCGGCATCCTCCGTGAAGGAGCTGACAGCGGTTCAGGGCCGAGGGCAGCGGCGCAAGCATGGGGTCTGGGAAATGGAACGTGCTTCCCGGGCTGGTGGGGACATTAAAAATTGCCCCAGAACGATCATTCATCAAGGGGTCTTTTCAATACTTAAGGTACTGCTGAGAAAGTATTAAAAAAAAAAAAAGGAAACATATCTCCACTTGAAATGTCCTTGAATGTTCATGTTTAATTTTATTTTGAGAACCTCTTGATCTTGGGACAGCTGCAAAGACAGAGCTTTCCCTTTCTAGCTTCCTGGGAGGGAGCTCAGCGAGCGAGTGCAAACCAGAGCGGAGATGAGCAGCCGTCTCCACTCCCGTTTAGGATCGGGGAGAATCAACATTACCGAGACGTAGCTCCTTCCTACAGAAAATGCCAGGGGAATAAATAGAAGACAGACACGAAACTGTGAACCCCTTTCTTTCGGAAGTGTTCGAGACTTGCTGGGTGATGGCGGTTCTCCCACGCATGCGCGGCGTGTTCCGTTTTCCGTCACTCTTGCCTTCTTTTATTCATCCGTTTCTCTTCATGAATATGTATTAGGTGTTCACGATGTCCAAAGCACTGCTCAGGACCCATGACACCATTTCTCGGATGCTTCACATCCAGGATCACCATGAAGTGGTATTCTGCTTCCACTCACGTGAGAGCGAAGAAGGGACATGACTCCTCCCTTCATCCTGGCTGCGGGCTCTGCTTACTGTCCGCATCAGGCCGGGCTTTGGATAGAATTAGTCTTTAACTAGTTACCTTTAATCTGCACAAACGGATTCAACAGCGGTTAGGACTGTACATGCCTTAGGACTCAGTAAATTTTGAGTCACACTTTCAGGTTTTGTCCTACAGAAAAAAATTAAGAAACCATTGAAGGCAGTGGTTTATAAATGTCACTGGACATTGGAATCACCTGGACATTTCTTTAAAATCCTGATGCTCAGGCTGCATCCACATTACATAAATGAGAATCTCTGGGAAGGAGACTAAGCATCAGCGGTTTTTTTTTTTGGTTTGAGGTGTGTGTTTGTTTTTCACAACTCCTCAAGGGATTCCAACGTGCAGCCAAGGTTGAGAACCAAAGATTTAATGAAACTTGGGACAACTCTGTCTTTGCATCTGGGATTTAGTTTTCCTTATTCCCTACGTGTGTGTTTGTTTGCTATATATCTGATGGCTAGGATGCTGGAAATTTCACTCTGTGTCTATCGGGCTGTCATTTTCTAAAGATCACAGATATTTAGATATAATTATTGGAACTTACAGTGATACAGCCACTCCACGCTAGGAAATGCCAAGCATCAAGACCTGTATTTCTCCAAATGAGGGTAGATCCTCAGAAACTCTACAAGAGACATTCCAAAGCATTTATAGAAATTTAATGTGCAAACCTCCTAAGCACTTGGCTAGGGAGAAGGGTGTAGCAACTACACATGTACAGAAAGAAGCTAGTCACTTTCAGTCACCCTTCCTTCATCTCTTCCTCTATTCCTTTTCCTGAACTCTCTTGCAACACTAAAAAGGTAACCGAAAGAGCAGGAGAGCAAATAATTGAATGCTATACTTAAAGATTATTTAGAATATGTGGCGGAAGCAGTTGAGAAATCCTTAAAAGTCTAATTCTCCCTTTTATGAACCTAGATTTATTTCTTAGTGTCTTTATTTTCAAAAGCCAAAGTTATATACCTACATCAAACATTACAGCCGAACAATATACATCAGGCCAAACACAAATGACCTAATGTAACCAAATCACTTTTAGATATGAAAGTGAAGGAGGACTACATTTGATTTTTTTTTTAAGATTTTATTTATTTATTTGACAGGCAGAGATCACAGGTAGGCAGAGGCAGGCAGAGAGAGGAAAGGAAGCAGGCTCCCTGCTGAACAGAGAGTCCGATGCGGGGCTCAATCCCAGGACTCTGGGATCATGACCTGAGCCGAAGGCAGAGGCTTTAACCCACTGAGCCACCCAGGCGCCCCAGGACTACATTTGATTTTATACAAAATAACCACCTGGATAAAAGGTGAAGTCAATGTTGGAAGCAGCAGAGGTCTATACAAAAAAATATAGAAACTCCAGTAAAAAATATCACATAAAATGTTGTTTGCACACAAGTTGAGCATTGTTACAACTCAATCCTGGTTTTTACCATCAAGTAACCAAGCTTATAGTTCTCAGAAGATTTTAGCACTTCATTGGATTTTTAATTATGAGATATTCTATGCAGTATAAATAATAAAACTCATACATTCATCATCTCACACAAGAAATAACACATTACAACTATAATTATATCCCTTTATCTACCTACTCCAGACCCAATTCGTCCTCTCTCCTTCTCACAAAGAAAATTTCTATCTTAAATTTGGGGGTTTGCCACTTTCATTAATATCATACTTTTACTCTGTTTAGGCCATAAAAAATATGTAATACTGTTTTGCACATTCAAGCCATACAAATGGAATCATATGCTATGTATAACTTCTACAACTTGCTTTTTATCTTTCTCTGTAATGTTTGTGAGACTCATCTATATTGATATATGTACTATTTTATTCATTTTTGCTTCTAGAGAATATTCCATTGGATGCATTATATCAGTACTTCATATTTTTAATGCTTTGTGTTGTCATCCATTTGTGTTTTTACCTTTTCCACTTTCTAAATTTTGCACTATACCAATGCTCAGTGCACATTTTCATGCCATGTGGTTGAGTATTCCTAATATATGTACCCAGGACTGGAATTACTGGGCCGTAGGATATATACAACTCCAACTCCGCTAGATATTGGTAAATTGATCTACAAAGTGGTTATCTCATCAATGAGATATTAAATGGGAAATTTTCTTTAGCAAATCCTATCAGATCTCTTAAATGAGAATCATAATGAATGGTATTCTCATGATATAAAACGTCACTGATACTCCACTGCTAAATTTGGATCTTCCATTCTCTGAACCTTTTAAGGAAAAGCTGGAGTGTGGATATTTTAAAAAACCCAAAAGTATTTTACAGATAAGTAGAATATTAATTTAAAGTAGCTGTGGCCATAGGGATAATATTTATAGAACAGCTTTTGGTGATGAATTATGACTAAGGCAAGTAGGTACAGGATTAGAAATACCCATTCTGTGTATTGGGCATTAAATTTAATGATTGGAATAAACTCCACCAAATGCAAATGCTTTTCCTTTTTTTTTTTTTTTTTTTTTTAAACTCAGAGAAAAAGAAAGGGATAAAACCACCCATGAGTGAAAGTCTGGTTTGTGTTGAGTGGGTTTCGAGTCCGATAGGCATCTCTCAGACGATGCAAGTTAAAAGTTAATGGCATGTTTCATTCTTTTTGATTAAAATTGACGTGTATTTCTGGAGACCGGCAATTGTATACCCAAGTCACAGCACAAAACCAGCCCTCAGGTTCACGAGGGAGAAAATTGATCCCTTTGTTTGCTTTTTTCATCCTCACTCCAAAAAAATTATTTGTGGAGAACCTTTTACAAATTGTTGTTTATGCCGGCACAGGGAGAGGCCTGAGGAGATCTCTGTGGATGCAGATATTGATAATGAGAAGCACAGACAGTATTGTTTTCTGGCATGCAGCTATCTACTGTGGTGTCTCCGTGTCCTGGGAGATCTCTTTATTAGAGGGCTAATGTGCTTATTAGCTGACGGAGGAAAAGAAACAGGATGAAAAACCCCAGAAACCAAAGGACACAACCATGAAGCCGCTTGGGAAAGCCAGCCTCTACGACCTCCGGTGATTCTCGCCTCCTGCTAGTCACACCTTTACCAAGTCCCCTCCCGCAGCAAACAGGCTGACATGAACAACGCACAGTGCCTTGAGAAGAAACAGGTGTGACTCTCAGGGCTAGCTTAAGTCTGTTCTCTTGGATCACTTGCTCTAAAGGAAGTCACCAGCCATTTTGAGAAGACCTTCCAACGGCCGTGCAGAGAGACCCACCTGGCAAGCAACTGAGCCCCCCTGTCAAGATCCAGCCTCGACAAGCTGGCCAGGTGAGCGGAGCGCGTTGGAAATGGAGTGTCCAGCTCCAGCCAAGTCTGCAGGTGACTGTAGCTCGGCTGACGTGACAGACCCCATGAGAGTCTCTGAGCCGAGATCATGCCTTTAAGCGGGTCCTGAGTTCCTGACCCACAGAAACTGTATGACATACTAAATATTCATTGTTGTTTCAGGTTGTTAAGTTTTGAGATAATTCGTTATGCAGCAATAGATAACAAATACAGCGTTGGAAAGACGAAATGAGAGCAACTCCCTTTCTTCCTTTCTCCAAAACTTAATAAATACTTCTGTTTATTTATTTATTTTTTTACGGAAAGAATTAAAACCGTCCCCCTGCCAGGATGGGAGTGGGAGACCTCTAAGGCACCATCCCTTGGGAAAAAACCTAGTATAGCAAAAAGAAAAAATAGCAGCACTTATTCAACAAATATTTACTGAGCATACTCTATGTCAGATACTGTGCTAAGTTAGATAACTTCAACACTAAACAAGAGAGCTATGAATGCTACCTCGTGGAATTTACATTGTCATAACCAAGAGGGACAACAATCAAGCAAATAAGTAATTCAAATTCTTATAAATGCCCTGAGCCCCGTAAATGAAGTATTGCAATATGTTGTGGGGAGTATGATAGGTCAGGCCGCTTCAAGGAGATGACATCTAAGCTAAGATTTGAAGGACAGAAAGAAGACCATCATTGAAAGAAAGGTGGGAAGGGCGATCCAGGGAGAGAAAAGAGTGTATGCAAAGGTCCTGAAGTGCAAAGATGTAATGAATGGACTGAGGAAGGCCAGAATTAAGAGAATCCAATGTGTGAGGAGGAGGGTAGCATGAGATGAGACAGGAGTTCATCCACGTGTTTTCAAAATTCTGGGGAAAACACATCATTGTGAGGAGACCATAAAAATAATTTCACTCACATACAAGGCCTAATTCAGATAGTCGTTCTCCTTCCTTAAAGAAATATTTTCAATTTGATAGAAGAAATGAGCTCAGGGGCACCTCTGTGGCTCAGTTGGTTAAGTGTCTGCCTTTGGCTCAGGTCATGATTCCAGGGTCCTGGGATCAAGCCTCAAGTCGGGTTCCTTGCTCAGCAGGGAGTCCGCTTCTCCCTCTCCTGCTCTCCCGGCTTATGCTGTCTTTCCCTATCAAATAAATAAATAAATAAAATCTTTTTTAAAAAAAGAAACGAATTCAAACCAAACATCAAACTCGAGCACTCGGAACCTGCTGGTTCCTCATTCCTCCCAGTTCCAACCAAAGGTCTTTCAGGCTCCCTGCTCAGCGGGGAGTCTGCTTCTCCATCTGCCCCTCTCTGCGAAAATAAAATAAATTAAATCTTTGGAAAAAGATACCTTGGATTTCTAGCGGCGCTATGGGTTTTCTTTACAGACACACAATGGCAGAGTCTAGTCTTGAAGCTGGGAAAACATACAAAAATATGAATACATCTCAAAAAACGACATTGTAGGAAACACCGCAAGCATATTGGATTTAACAATTATTCCAGACAATAAAGTTTACTTGGAAAGTTTCTGGCACTTCTCAGGGGATTATGTGACTGCGTTGGAGTTTAAAGACCCAGTGTCCTCAGTGTCCAGACTTAAAATTCTGTCTCTGTGTACGACCTTTCAAACTCTGTTTGCCAAAGAGAGAAACTGCAATGTAAAGTCTTAAAATCACATTGTCACACTGCTGGCTGGCGAGGTGTTGAGGGACCTCATGCTATTTATTTAGTCCTGTCGTAATGCCCTTTCCAATCCCAAATTCATTCTTGCCTCCAGAAGATTATTGAGATGGAACTTGTGAAATATGCAGCCTATTTCAACAAACAGCAATCGCCTTCTTCCTCTGCGGTTTCCAGGGAAGGAACAAAACTCACTTCTCCAGCCAGGACACAGGCTCTTGTACACCAAAGCTGCAAGAATCCTAACTGCCAAAAAAGCACCGAGGGGATTTTCATTCATAGAGTGTGGAAGTGTCAGAAGATGCATTTTATGAGGAGTTTAATCTGTGCATTTGAAAGAGAATGGCAGGAACCGTCCCATGGGTCCCGCCTCCGGGGCAGACAATGTTCTCACTCTGTAAAGAATCCCGCTTGATGAGAATCGATACATGTTGTTGGTCTTGACTACAAATAGTTCATTACAAGCTGAGAAAAGGGCCGCTGCCACCCCATTTGCTTTCTGCTCTGCTGTAATGGTCCCAGCTCTCTCCTATGTCAGAAAAGCCCACAATTACTTAATATAAAAGAATGTATCCGGCAATTCAAAGGCTAGAAATCTCAGGCTGAGATTTATAATTAGAGGGGAACAGGT